CTGTGCATGCCTTTATGCATTTCATTGTCTACTTTCCCTGCGCATGCATCCATGCACTTCACTCTGCGTATGCATTTCACTGTCTACTTTCCCTGCGCATGCCTCTGTGCACCCAATCTGGGCATGCCTCTATGCATTTCACTGTCAGTTTTCCCTGCGCATCCCTCTACAAGTCACACTGTCTACTCTGTGCATGCCTCTATGCAGTTCACTGTCTGCTTTCTCTACGCAGCCTCTATGCATTTTACTGTGCACTTTCTCTATGCATGCCTCTATGCATTTCAGTGTCTACTTTCCGACCTTGCAGCCGGAGCTGCGGGGACGTACTTCGTGTACTACTTTTGTACATAAAGTTACGACTTTGCAGCCGACCTGCGGGGACGTACTTCGCGCACTACTTTTGCACTGAAGAGGTCCGACACGCACCGTCCCCGCAGAGGGTCGCGCGCGCACGGCAAGAATCGCAAAAAAGAAGAACGAAAACTCAGGTTTTGCACATCGACCACGCCGATCCCCGCAGAGGGTCGCACGTGAACCGCACGAATCGCAAAAACAACTCCAGCTTTTGCACATCGACCTCCGCGACCCGCGCCTCTTGCATCGCGGGAAACATGCAGCGGAGTCGTGCGCCGCGGTGCAAGGCGCCGCCAGTGAGGGGGGCGCAGGAGCCGCGCGCGTGGCCTAGCAACAGTTACGCGCGCTGCAGGTCCGGGCCATGGGGCAGCATGCAAGGAACACGCGCTCCGTGGCCCCGCGCTTGTAACAATGGGTGTGGCCAGAACGAAAAGGCGACGTTCGGTGGTCGCACCAAGTTTCTGGGTGTGCGCCCCCTCGAAAATTGAGCGCCCGCGTCTTGCTCACATTGGCAGAAGCCACATCTCCACCAGCGCATGTAAGCAAGGCGCACAAGAGAATCAAACTTCGTTTAGGAGACTGGAAGCAAATGATTGCCACCAGCAAGCAGAAGTTCTGTGTGATTATGGTGGCCTATGGCCGTAGAACTGAGACCGCATGGCAGCCTTGCTCACGCATCTCATTTTTTGTGGATGACTTCATTTTACTTTTGGAAGAGGCCGTGGCTAAAGAGACTCATCTGCTTGGCGCACCGTTCTTGCCAACAGCCACGGGTCCACTGGCGGCCGTCGCTCTTCTTCCCGAAAGCATTGCGAAGGGTTCTTCCGGTAAAGTCATTGCGTTCTGCACAGCTCAACTGCATAGAGAAAGTAGGCAGTGAAATGCATAGAGACCTGCACAGGGAAAGTGCACTGTGAAATGCGTAGGGCAAGTGCAGAGTAAGGTGCATAGATGCATGCGCAGGGAAAGTAGAGAGTGAAATGCATAGAGAGGCATGCTTAGCGCAAGTACAGAGTGAAATGCATAGACACGTGCGCAGGGAAAGTAGACAGTGAACTGCATAGGAGGCATACGCAGGGAGAGTAGACAGTGAAATGCATAGAGGCATGCGCAGGGAAAGTAGACTACGTAGCGATCTTGCATTCCTTCTCGCGCTAGAATATCTTGCGCGAGGAATCTTGCACGCTTTCTGACAATTAGTATCTTAAGGTGGCGTGGTGGGACCAAGCGCTCTCTGCAACATGCGCGCGCAACCCTCTGCGGGGATCGGCGTGGTCGAGCTGAGCTCAGCTCCCCAGCATATGGGCAAGGCCCGCGCGGCTCCTACAAACTTTAACTAATCATGCAGCCGCCACTACCATCTGTGAAAGCGTTGCCTAACTGACTTGCCGAGTTGCCATTGCCCATCGCCTTTTTCGGAGATCGCGCCCTCACCTGTCCGTGGACTTGTCTGCTCGCTCGGCGCGCCAAGGCTGGGTTGCACGCGAGCTCGGTTAGGGTGCGAGGCTTGAGGCCTCCGCTAGGCCTTGCAGTGAGAGGTGGCCGTATCCACAAGCAGAGGTGGAAGAAGCGCGCTGGGCCACGCCTGAAGTTTTTGGCGGTGGCCGGCGTCTGCGAGTTTCAACCAGCCAAGAGACTGAGCGTCGCATGAGGGCCCTGCGCCGGCGCGCGCAGAGACTTTCGCTGCCCGACGGTGACAGCTCCAACAGCTGACTTCTGTCCCGCTGGTTCAGGCTGCACGGACGTGTGTTGAGCGCAAACACTTCGTGAAGGACGCGACGATGCGCAGAAAATGGCTGTGCGCTTTTGGTGAGAGAATGGGACATGGTGTCTCAGTTTGCTCTGTGCCTGGCACCTCTTTTTGCAAGGTTCAGCTGACGCGATGACACGAGACTTATCTTATTTTGATTGACCGCTGTTGTTGGGTAACAGAGAGCCATGCTGGCATTTTCAGGTTTAGGGCTTGTTGTAGAGCAGCATAGTTTCGTTTCGCATGGCTCGGTCATGAGGCTTGCAGGCGTGAGGTAGGTAAGTAGACGGCTGGACTCATTGAAAAGAAGATGGCCAAGACAAACAACATGGCGTCAGAATGCAAGAAAGAAAAGAAAAGAAAACAGAAAAGAAAAGAATATGGAATAGAATAGAAGAAAAGAAGAGAAGAGAAAAGAAAGAAAGAAAGAAAGCAAGAAAGAAAAGAAAAGAAAGGAAGGAAGGAAGGAAGGAAGAAGGAAGGAGGGAAGGAAGGAGGGCAAGGGAAGGGAAGGGAAGGAAACGAAAAGAAGAGAACAGAAAAGAAAAGAAGGGAAAGGACAGTAAAGGGAAAGAAAGGAAAGGAAAGGCAAGGAAAGGAAGGGAAGGGAAGGGAAAGGAAAAGGAAAGGAAAAGGAAGGGAAAAGAAAACAAGGAAAGGAAAAGAAAACAAGGAAAGGAAAGGAAAGGAAAAGAAATCAAGGAAAGGAAAAGAAAAGAAAGAAAGGAAAGGAAAGGAAAGGAAAGGATAGGATTGGAAAGGAAAAAGAAGAAAAGAAAAGAGAAGAAGACAGGGAGAGAGAGAGAGAGAGAGACACGTGTCAATGTACATGGCGCACTACTTGCTTGATGTGCGTTGTGTAACTACCGCAAGCCTTGAGCTTACCTCTTACTACATGCGAGCCCGTAGAAAAATGTGCAGACTACAAGTTTGATTGTTTGTGATGCATCACTACAGGACTCGCAGTTGTAGAAAGCAACAGATTGCTTTAGCGTGGTAGCGGAGCTGAGATCCTACACATAGGGGATCTCCAGTGTGCAGCAGTTAGTAAGCGCAACAACAACTGCAAGGCGATCGCATGCCAAACTACTACGACGTGTCAGGAGAACCAGCGTCAGGTCAGCGCGCTACAGGAACAGACAATGGGCCAACAGCAGCAGCAGCAGAGACAGTAGGAGCCACGACTACGGGAACAGGAGAAGCACAAGCGCAAGACAACGACGCCCAAAGACTACACAAGTACAAACTGCCCTATCTCGGACTCATAGACAGAGACTTCGACCTGGTGCAACAACAGCCAGCGCAAGTGGGTGCGCAAGCAAACAGGCAGTAGACCTCGCAAGAGACCGACACGGCATTCTCATCAACATCTTTCAACTCAAGGAGCAGCAGCGACAGTAGCGCAACCAAATCGCTACAACGCAAACGGATGTGAAACATTATCTGGCGGAACACGAAGCGTTGGCTACCTCACCAACCTACTAGAACCTACATTCAACGAAGCGCAAACCGAAGAACAATTCCTACAGTGCGAACATGGAAGGAAGGTTGACTTCAGCAACGTTGACAACATTCGGAGAAAGGAAGGCAAAGGGGCGCTACAAAGGAAACGAAGGAAAAGGCAAATATAGGAGCAAAGGTCATTAAAAAGGGTTTGACAAAGGCAACCAAGGAGGTTACAACAAAGGAGGATACAACAAAGGCAAAGGGAGAAGGCTACGGAGGGTTCAAAGGTTACGTACGGATCACAAAGGCTACAAAGGCCAAGGAAACTACATGCAGCAAATCAAAGGAAAGGAAACAGCAACTGGCAAGCCTGGCCACTGGGCCCAACACTGCAGAGCCCCTTTGTGGCGCGCAGGAGAGGGAGATGAAACATCACCTGAGAAAAAACAAGGAGCCAATGACGTACGCGACACTTGGGATTGGTACTCTGCCGGAGAAGACCGGCGCGGGCATGATGGAGATTACATGGATGAGAACTGGAACGACTACGACTGGAATGACAACAGCTGGGATTGGAACGACGACGGCCATGAAGATGCAACAAACTACATTGGAGGCATCAGCGAGTCACACCTCACAAGCAAAGTTACTACCTTGCAAGCGCCAACCAAAATCACGACTAGGAAAGAGAGCGTCACACACCGCATCATGGAATGACCGCAGCAACCTGCTTCCAACAGGACATGCAAGAGGACACAACAAAACTGCGCTTCGACATAGCAGTAGCAGCGCAACAGCAGAAACAACGGAAGATTGATGACAACATCACACACTACAAAATGTATTCCAAATTCAATTCCTATCACAACCTGTTGATTGACTCGGGAGTATCTACACATGCTTGCCCAAGCAACTACGCGACGGATCTACCACTAACCTTTTGGAGAATCAGTTCCGCAGCTCTACGCCGCATCAAGTATGTTCCCTGCAAGCAGGACAACTTCATGATTCCCTACAATGTGTGTAATGTGAAGTGTCCTGTCCTCAGTGCGCCAAGACTACTTGATAGCGGATACGGATTCTATGGAAGAAGGCAGATGGAGATGAGTGGAAGAAGGATTGTGGCCAGCGGTGCAGTAAAAGTGAAGACCCAGGAAGAATCGGCGGAAATTAGAAGGAAGTTGGAGGAGGCTGGAAAGCTGAGCCGTGTCCTTCCGAGCAAGTTCCCGGGGACCCGTCGGTCAAGAAGAGCAGAATGTGCTTGAGAGGAGATCAGGACCCCGACGCCATAAACCTGGACACGTACGCCCACCATTAGCACGTGCATTTTCCAGCTCATGTTACAGGTGTCGGCCAACCTGGGAATGAAGGCGCATGTGGGAGACCTGAAGAATTCTTTCTGCCAGTCGGATAGAATGGGCCGATATACTTCAAGCCTCCCAAAGAGGGAATGCCTGGAGTGGGCCCGGATCAAGTGGTGGAGGTGCTGAACTGTGTCTACGGGTTAGTGGACGGACCGGCGCATTGGAGAGGTTCGCTGATCTTGGTGCTGAAGTCCTTGAACTACAAGCAAAGCCGATTAGACCCGTGCATCTTCAAGCTCTACCATATGGGAAGGTTGGAGGGCGTGGTCGCAATTGAAGTGGACGACCTCTTCGTGTGTGGCCATGAGGTGCACCTAGAAAAGATGAGGCAGCTGAGGGAAAGGTTCAAATTCGGAAAGTGGGTGAGCCTTCAGGAAGAGGCAGATGGGGCTGCGTTCAACGGGGGAAGGATCAAGCAGAAGCAGGATGGAAGCTTTGAGGTGGACATGCAGAAGTTCGTGGAGGAGCGGCTGCAAGAGGTTCCGTTGGAGAAGGGAAGGTTGAAGGATAGAAAGGCAGCAGCATCCCTGGAGGAGATCAGTGGCGCGAGGGCAGTCTGCGGCGCGCTGAATTGGCTGAGCAAGGAAGGAAGGCCGGATGTGGCAGGTGTCGCGAGCCTGTTGGCATCTCGGTTGAAGAAGCTGACCGTGGACGACGTGGCGAACATCAACGACGTGGTGAAGAGAACTAAGGAGAAGGCCGGGGTGTGCTTGAAGATCCAAGCACTCCGTAACATGAAGATGGGCGTCGTCACCGACGCATCTTTTGCGAACCGGGACTATCACAGCCAGGGAGGTCAGGTGATCATCGCCTACGAGGACAGTTTGCAGGATGGCATGGAAGTGAGAGTTGGAGGAAAAACTGCAGAGGGTGGATTCAGCCTTGGCCGCAGAGACCTAGAGTCTCTCTCGAGGCCTGGGTGACCTAGCCTGGAGCATGGTCTTCGTGAAGGAGCTCATGGATGGATTTGCGGAAATGGGAGAGGCTGTGGCCGGTCGCTTGGGCTCGCGCCGGGCTGCATCTCGGGCCGTACCTCGGGCTCGGGCTGTACCTTGGGCTCGGGCTGTACCTCGGGCTTGGGCTTGGGCGCTGCCTTGAGCTTGGGTGCGGCGTAGGGCTTGGGCGCTGCCGTGGGCTTTGTCTTGGGTACTGGCTTGGGCACTGGCTTGGGCTGCTTTGGCGCACTTGCTGCTTTGGACTTGGGCGCCGCCTTGGGCGTGGGTGGGAAGAGCGCGCTGGACGCTGCCTTTGACTTGGGCCGTGGCCGTAAGCAGAAGCGACAGTCAGGAGACCCTCAAGGAGGCCTTGGCGCTTGTGGGCGCGAAGAGCCTCTTCGACTACTTTTCAAAGGAGACTATCGGCGGCCCGCCATCGAGATCCAGATCATTCGGAAGGACTTGAATTCGCTGAGAGGCGGAATTCGGTGGGTGGATCACCCATCAATGATTGCAGACAGCCTGACCAAAATAAAGGGGTCAGATCATGCGCTTTTCCGGCTGACACAGACCGGGCGCTTTCAATTGACTGCGGAGCCCGACAAACTGCAGGCTCGCAGCCAAGCTCGGGCTAGTGGCCAAACTAGCTCGGAGCACTCGGAAATTCGAAGGTGTGGGATCAATGAAAAACCTGATAGCTGTGAAACTCAGCCCAGGGAATGAGCGTGGTTGATCCCACACGTACCGTTGCCTTGGCTCTGTCATCAGGGGCCTGCACACTATCCCATTCGCGCATGGACGCGACGACATCGGCTGGACAAGTGGAAAAGGGACCGGGTGAGCTCGATCTGAATTTTCAGCTTCAGAAGACCAACCCATGATCTTCGACAACGAAGGTAGTTATGACGAAACACAACTACGAAACGGAATTAAGTACGAATCAAACGAAATGAAACTACAAGATGTCTATGACGAGGTAGATACGTCTACATTCAGTGACGGCATCATCAGCGAATCAATCCCTACAAGATGGGTCCACCGCAAGCAGGTGTACGGAGTAGAAGAACGAGGGTGAGAAGATTGAGGGCGAAGGTGCCGTCTACCTTCCACACCAGTGTTCACAACGCTACGGACGCTTCTCGCGCTACAATTGTGACGGCCAAACTGGACAGCGTGTAGAAATATTTCTACACGTGGGCACAAAAGACACCCGAGGCCACCTGAGGAACTCTAAGCTGGCTGAACTGCTACAAAGGCTCGGCTTTGTAAGACTAAAGTCAGAACCAAACGTCTACACCAAGGCAGCTCGGGGCTGCTACATCATGATCTACTTGGTGCTTGGCGACAAGACTACCGTCGACCCCACCTTCGCGGCAAGTGCTATTTAAACGCACTGGCTACTCGAGCCCAGCAAACCACAACAGTTTCTGGGAAGGAACATCAAGCACTTCGGCCACCGCTGCACCATTGGACTTCAGGATTCCTACATCAACGACATGATAGAGGAACCTGGGCTTGCAACACGGTAGCAGTTCCAGGAATTGCTCACTACAAGCCAACAATGAAAGACGATTCGCTACTCGACCACGAACAACGATTGCTGGTAAACTACAACGGTTAGCCTACACACGACCAGACATTCCCTGTCAACAAAAGAACTACAAGACCTCGCAGCACCTACAGAATTTTAACAAAAGCGAGTCATAGCGCTAAGTTCAGCAGAGCCTGCGCTCTACGCAGTTGATGAGGGACTACACCTCAGAAACTTCCTCTTGGAAGCGAAAATAAGCAGCAAGCTAAACCCAGGAAGCCCCACCGACCGCGCAGCAGGTAAGAGCATTCCTACACGACAAGGCGCAAGCAAACGAGGAAAGCAGATCGACCTCAAATTTCTCTACACACAAAACCTCATCAAGCACGACATCATACGAATCCTTCAGATCAACACACTTCACAACAGCGCAGACTTGCTCACCGCACGCATCAGCGAAGAGAAACACTACAACGGCCCATCCAGAGCATCAGCGTACGCATTACCGCTACGAACGGCCATCGCGCAACTGTTTGACAACAGTTCTCTCACTTCGCACTAGGTCGCCGCAGCTATGGATTGTTTTGCGGACCTTTCAAGTAGAGCCCTTGAGGTGGCGATGTCTATATTGATTTGGAGGCGATGATGCCACTACTGTCAACCAGTTGCACAACATGGCAACTCGGCATTCTCCGCCGCCACACTCGCTCCCAGGCCACATTCATGAGGCCACCTGCAATCGGCTCACTGGTGGCACTGCTGCAGCATAACCGAAGCACACACCACTACAAACGAGATCAATCACGACGTGCTCAACACCGCTGTGCTACCAACCGAAAACATACAGCAACTTCACGTGATGTGCCCCTTGGCTACTGCATCAGGGGTTATGTCAACCACTCCACCTTACCAAGACCAAGCTGCGCACCTCATCCATTACGACTTCACAGAGTTCAACAACCGCTACACTTTGGCCAGCGGATTTGGGACTACCATCTACTACTCAACGCCCAACAACTTCTGCGCTTCTTTGTGCAACACTACAGATGACACCATCAACACATCTACAACATGCACAGAGTACTATGGGCACCACCTACTGACCACTACGCAAGGCAATCCAGCAACGACTGCAGGTCACCATGCCTGTGGCCCTATCAAGGACATCGAGCGCATCAGGTTCGGTTCAACTAGTCATTGACTACCTCGATGATCCTACCACAGTTCAAGTGCTTCATGAAATGAAGGAGGCGACGCGCCGCCTGAGCTTTTGGATTACACCAGTCGCGCCACCCAGTTTGACTAGTGAGCCTGAACAGGCGCGTTTGAGAGCTGCAGTAGAATGGCTGAATAGCATCCGCCTTCATCACTGCTGCCAATCTTTCCGCAACGGTTGTAGGATACTACAAGAACTTACAACTGCGAGGCCGTGTCCTTGCACGTGGTGCATTACTTGCTTGATGTGCATTGTGTACACTGTAGTAAACCACAGGCTGGTTTTAGCGAGGGAGAGAGGAAGAGAAAGAGAGAAAGAGAGAAAGAGAGAGAGAGAAAGAGAGAGAGAGAGAGAAAGAAAGAAAGAAAAGAAAAGAAAAGAAAGCAAGGCAGAAAGAAAGAAAGAAAGAAAGAAAGAAAGAAAGAAAAAAAACAACAGAAAATAAAAGGAAAAAAAGGAGAAAAGAACAGAAAGTAAAGAAAAGAAAGAGAAGAAAGAAATAAAGAAAGAAAGAAAGAAACAACAAAGAACACTCGAAAGCAAAGGCGGCATGAAGAGAACGGGAGGAAAGAAGAAATAAAGTAGGCTGGAAAGAAAAAGCACTATGAAAAGAAGGAAAGTGAACGAAGACAAACAGCAGGAAGAGAACAGTAGCGAAGAGAAACAAGACCAGCAAACTATAGTCTATAGTTTGATGTTCTTGAAACTTCCGCTGGCCTGTGCCCAGAAGTTTTTTTTTCTCACGTTCCATCTTAGTATTTGCAGTATTTGGTGATGAATTTGTATGAGAAAGGCAGATACTGTAGATCTTGATCACAGCAAAGGAACAACACACGTCTTGCCAAGTCCTTTGCAACATCCTCCATGAGTGAGAAGCACGGATTTTGATTTTTGTTGTTTCCCCAGTGGGCCTCTCGCCGCCTTAGCATCCCGTGATCACGCCGGCTGTGGAAGGCTGCATTTGAGTTCAACTCAGGTAGATAGATTGATTTTCGGAAGTAGCTGTGGGCTAGATTTTCATGTGCTGTAGTTAGATTGCTAGCCAACGTGCATAGCATCTCAGTCTCAGCATGACAGCATGCGACAAATTCGCAGCTGGATTTGTCGATCTTGCAGCCAACATCTCGGACCTTGTGGTGACATGTGGCAACCCAGATGCAGGTGATGAAAAGGCCATTGTTGGCAGCAACATGCAGCAAAGCCTCTACCTCTTTGTCATTGTTGTGCTGGCCGCCGTCTGTCATCTTGTGGCAACGTATCGCAGCAGTGAGTCAGGCGGCAAAGAGCCAGTTGAGAAGGATCTTTGGCACATTTCAGGTGCGGACTACGACCTCAGCGCCTTTGTGAAGCAGCACCCAGGTGGACCAATTGCGATTGGGCTTGGCCGTGGCATCGATTGCACGCAGCTTTTTGTGACGTACCATGCTGCAGGCAGTCCGGCCCGTGCTATCTTGGAGAAGTATCGGGTGAGCTCAAAAACAGCGGAACTCCAAGAGTCGGAGTTTCACAAGGCACTATGCCAGACGGTGAAGGATCACTTTGCCGGTCAGGGCAAGTGGGCTCACAAGGCATCCTATTCCCATTTGGTGTTGTTGGCAGCAATAATGCTGGCCATGATTGCTTCTTGGTGGGCCTGGTTCGCTGGGTATTGGTTCAGTTTGCTGACCTTGCCCATCTCTTCCTGGCTTGTCTTTGCCAATGGTGTTCATGATGCTTCGCACTTCGCTGTGACTTCAGTAGCATGGGTCAACCATGCGATGACATTCCCGGCCTTGCCACTCTTCTCAAACCCAATCACATGGTACAGCCAGCATGTCGTGAAGCATCACTGCCATTGCAATGAAGTGGATGAGGACGTGGACCTCTACCACTTGATGCCGATACGTCTTCACAAGCATGTAGACAGCATTGGCGGGATGGGCCATCTAGCAAAAGCAGTCCTTACTGGAATTCATCTAGGAATCGGAGTTCCACTGAACTGTCTCACAGGTGTTCTCGAGAATTTGCCAGATGGCTTCATCCATGGAAATCGTATCAAGCTTCTCCGCGTCTTCAGCGAGAACCCCTTGCACTACCTCAGCGTGTGGATGGGCGTCTTGGGTGCTTTTGGGTTCTCCGTCACGTCTTTCTTCGTCCATGACACGGTCTTCAAGAAAGTCTGCTTCACAGCAGTTCCTTATGTGATCGCATCGCTCTTGTTCATAGTCTTCACGCAGGTCTCTCATATCCAGGAGGCATGCCAAGCGGACAGGACTCTTCAAACAGATGACTTCTTCAAAAGGCAAGCCCTTTCGAGCCTGGATTACAGCGTTGACAGCAACTCGGTGAGAAGACAGCATACGTTGACCTCCCAAAATACAATACATAGATTAGAATTTGGTTTAATGAGCGGACAACAGGGAATAGAATCATGATATGATGATGTTCTGAAGTTAGTGTTTTGTTTTTTAATCCTGCAACTTTCTGCTTCCTTGGTCTGATTGAATGGTTCACTGCGTGTTCCCTTATTTGAGCCTCGTTCTTCATTGTTAGCCCTAAGCAGTCATGAACGCAAGCCCTCAGGCAAGCTATGGAGCATCCTTTCCGGCGGCGTCAACATGCAGTCTTTGCATCACTGCTTGCCTTGGGTGAACTCATGTCACTACACTGCCTTGTATCCAAAATTCCGTGAGATATGCAGGCAGCATGAAGCAGTGCCGCCACAAGTGGAGAACTTTCCAGAGGCACTGAGCATGGCTTACAAGTACATCGTGAAAATGAATTGCCCATGAGGAGAAGAATTGCTGTTCAAATAGTCTAATTACTGACCTGGCTGTGAAACAACAGGCCAGAAGTCAATGCGCAGTCTCACCGCCATCTCTTAGGGGAGTGTGGCATATTTTCCATTTTGCGTTCTAACACGCACGCACAGGTGACACGCACGGCTTGTAATGTTTGCGTGCAGCTAGCAGTTTGACAAGTCGTCGAGCAAATTTTGGATGACTGACTTCTTGATCCTTCGACCTGTTGTGAATCCCAGTGTTCCGAGCCAGAGCACAGCTTTCATAGAAGATCATGCCAAGAAGGAAGTCTGTTGAGTAATCTCTTTTTCACCTTGACATAGATTGAAGCATCTGTGATGTGAGCGAAAACGACACCTGCGCCGACTGGTCTCGATGACTTGAGATAACGACTTGGCCTGTCGACATTGAGACAAATATGTCCACAAACAGCTAACATCAAGCAACGCGCACTGGGACCGAACTCAAACAAGCAACAACCACGACAGAGTAGCCAGTTTAGCAGACACAGGTTCCAATCTACTGGACATATAGAACGGCACTTCAGACTTTGCAGCAACGAAAATTATAATTGCAGGCACCCTAGGCTGTTACTTGATTGTCTGGGGGAATGTCACATGTACAGCCACGCAACAAGCAAATGGAACTGCAGATAAGAACATTGCTTCAAAGAAACTGACATTTCATATGTGCAGCCATGTAACAAGCAAAAAGAAACTGTAGATAAGAGCATGGCCCCAAAGAAACTGACGTTTCATTTGTACAGTCATGCAACAAGCAAAAAGAACTGTAGAGAAGAACGTCGCCCCACGGAAACTGACTGACATTTCATATGTACAGCCATGCAGCAAGCAAACGTAACTGTAGATAAGGACGTTGCCCCAAAGAAACTGAAATTTCATATGTACGCCCATGCAACAATCAAAAGGAACTGTAGATAAGAACATTGCCTCAAAGAAACTGACATTCACATGTACAGTTATTCAACAAGCGAAAGGAACTGTAGACAAGAACATCGCCTCAAAGAGACTGAAATTGCACGTGTACAGCCATGCAACAAGCAAAAGGCAGGTCTTACAGCTCCTTTTGCCTCTTGCATGGCTGTACCCCTGAGCTTTCAGTTTCTTTGGGGCGATGTTCTTATCCACAGTTGGAGCGATTTTCAGCTGCATGTCCTCATTCACTATTTTTGTGCTAGAGAGCGCGCAATTCAAGGTATGAGATCCACCTCTCAGTTTCTTGCGGAGTCCAAGCAGGGATTTCTAATCGAAGGCCCGATTTGGGGGGGGGTGAGTCCCACTGCCAGGGGTATCTCATCTCCGAAGGGAACCGATACCTTGTGGTAGTAGAGGATCTTTATGTGATAGGTCCCCGGATCTATTCCGAGTCCAAGATTCAATACTGATGGGTTGATATTGGATTAGCCCGGGTTGATTGCGTGCTGTGGTTTGCCCTGAAAGTGGTCCGCTAGCACCTTTGTATCACGGATGCAATGGCTCAGTGAGCTATGTACATCTGATGTGTGACATGAAAGGCCTTGAGCCAAAATGGTGTTGCATGGAGATCAATGGGTCCGAAAAACAAACACAAAACAGACACAAATTTCTTTTGATCTCCAGCACTGAATTGCTATCGGCTTCTTGGCCTTTGACCGTAGCCATGTAAGTGTGTGCCGTAGCCATATGCGGACCTATATATCTTGTCAGAATCAAAGTACTGTATTCATCCCTTTTTGGCGCGGATGAAAAGTCTTTGTTGGCAAATTGAAAAGACAAGTCTGTACTCATTGTGGATACCGAATTGTAGCAAAAAATGATGCACAATGCTACGTACATGCAGGATCGGTGTGAAACTATTGATGGTGAGGATCAATTGGTCGGCGTTCGTGGTGCTGTTCTCGGTTGTTCTCTCTTTCGAGCTTCTGAAAGCATCTCATCGCTTCTACGGATGGCTGCTGGTTTCAGATTGGCTGTAGTAGTCGTAGTCATACCAAGTCGAAGAACTATACCCTTTCCATCCAGGTTGATCGTAGCCGTAAGCCTGGTTGTATCGCCAGGAACTTCTCCACGTGTTCTCCTTCTTTTCTGATTGTGCTCCTTGGCTCTCTGAGTGTTTCGTTCCTTGCTTTCAGATCGGCTTCGGATGTAGACCATGAGCGGGCTGTGTGAATCGGCGTCACGTGGGCCATTCAGGAACATCTCGTCCAAATACAAATGTCATCATGGAATTGGGAATGTTCGATCGCATCCAGGATGGTGACGAACAATTGCCTTCATAGCGCAAGAGGTAGCCATGGCATAATCCATTCTTTCTTCAATTGGCGTCCTCCTGGTCGTGTTCCATGTGTCTTGATATGTCTGCATGATGTGGTTGATCAGTCCATAGTCCGGATTATGGACCCATTGCAGTCCGCTGTAAGTGTTGAAAATCCTCTCTTGCTGCTCCATGAGTGATATTCGGATGGATATGGAAGTCTCCAACTGTAGCATATGGAAGTCCGGCTCGAAGAATGTGTCGATTATCGTAATCCGCGTTCGGAGCCTTGGTTGGCTTCGGCAATGGTCCTTGGAATTCGTTACTTTGGTCGATTTGGATCACCACAATTTCCTTGTTGTGCCCATATGTCTGGATGGCAGTGCGTGGTGGCAATCTCGAGCCGACGTAGTCCTTGAGTTGAGGTTCTCCTTTGTCATGTGAAGTCCGTTGCCAGGCAGTCGAAGGTTGGCGTGTCATACTCGGGATCTACACAATTGATCTTGACGCCGAAGAAACATCTGAACATTTCGAATGTAGTTCCCCAGTCTTGGGATCTGGTTGAGATGTATCTTGCCAAGAGTTCGACTCTGGTCTCTTCTTCCTCTGTGTCTCTGTGTCGGATTCTTCCAGCGTAGAGTCGGGTTCTCGATCATAATCGGCCTGGTCCATGTCGACATCCTTGGTTTCCTGAGGATTGCACGGTGCTGGATCTTCCTCCTTCATCTGCTGCATGGGGATGTCATCGAGTTCTTCTTGTTCATCATGGACAGGAGAATCCCTCAATGGTGATGCCCTTCTCTTCGATGCAGGCTTTGGTGTCGGTGACTTCGGAGGAGCCAGTCCGAAGATATTGCTGAGAAATGGCATATCGACACAGGTATTGTACATACAAGACCGAATTGGTCGGGATGTTGAGAACCAAATCGGCTGCAGATGCAGACGCATATTTCTTGAGCTTCAAGAATGGCTGAATGTAAAAGGTCAACACGGCATTGAGGAATTGAGAAATCAAAAAGGAAAATATTCATGCGTCAAATTCTGTGGATGCCCAGGTTCCCCAATAAGCAAAGCTTTACCGACTCCTGCGAAAGCAAAGATGTCGGGGCCGTGCTGTGTTGTGTGCGAGCCACTCGCCTTGTTCTGCAACATGGTATGAAATGGCGGATGGGCGTCGACATTCAACAGGTTGCCCGTGAGGACGGCCTTAATGAGCTCATCTGGCTTTGCTGAGTGATTCGTCAGCGAATCGGCTAGGCAATCTTCGCCTCGTACATGTGCAAGATCATGCATCTGTCCGCTGTTACTTTCCTCTCGCAACATTTGGATCAAGTGCATGGTTTCTGTTCTGGTTGATGGGTCGTTGATGCTGTCGTAACCAAATTGAGATATCCGACGAGGTACATCGAACTCGAGAGGTTCACTGGTTGATTACAAGGCGCATAAGATCACCGCTACAACCATGTCCACACAGCTGTTGCAGAATTGCACGGACTCATGCGTTGTTACGGCTCAGCTTTGCTTCTTTGCGGTCTCTTACAGGCGAAATCGCCGATGTTCACATTCGGACTGATGCAAACGTTCTTCTGCAAGAAAGACATCATGTGCACGTTGGGATGACTTATCTTCATTGTTGCGATAGGATGCGTCTGGATAACCAACTGTACGCGTCTTCCCATGAAGGAGCCAGAATCCCATACTAAGCGGTATGCTCTTGATGGTTCTGACTGTTGTATTGATGGCGCGAACTTCCTCAATGGTCGGTGATGTTGCCTTGGATGCGCGCGTGGAGCATTGGTAGCCAATATGGAATTGTGTCCGCGATTGCAACCAGTTGATCTGACCTCGGACACTTGTATATGCAGTGTGCATCTGTGGCGTGAGTGGAGTGTCATCTTTCAGGTCCTTGTCGAATGTGATCTCCTGAAGTTCGTCAATTGCAACATTCTGGCGAACGTTGATGCACCAACCGTGCTTGTTGTCATGCTTCCATTCGATGCGTTGTGCCACGAAAAGGCACTCATTCTTATCTTCGCAACCAACTTGGAAATCTTCACGAAGTCATCCCATGATCTCCATAAGAAGATCACCAACATGAAGGGATAGGGCTCCATGAACTTTTCGATTCTTGTCGTTGTTGCCGGAAACAGGATCCATAAGGTAATCAGCCGCGCCTTCTAAAACGAAAGTGTTGGATGATTTCTTTTCGCTGATCGGTGTGGATTTTGGAAGCTGTTTACCGTAGAAAACATATGTGCAACGATCTGCTCGTGTTGGCACTAATCCGTATGAACGGAGTGCCGAATCTAGGATGTTCCACCACCTGCGTGGTGCATCGTTCAGCCCGTAGGCAGGCTTCTTCATGCGAGCGCCAATGTGTGGTGGATATCCCATTTCAGGAGGGATTTGGCAAATGACGTCACGATTCTGATCATATGCTTCTCTTGGAGAAATGAAAGATGTTGTTTGCGGCTGCTTGAATCACGAGGCGGAAGCCACGCCTGGATGCAGCAGGACTGTCTGTCTGCTGATCATCCTTCTGCTTATCTTGACAACCCCGCAGGACCCAACAAGCCTTGGTCGTCAGAAAGGTTCCGATATTGGGGTAGGAACCCAGCGAACGGTGACCCATTTTCTGACCTGAATCTTGCGTGTGTCGACTAGGTCGAACACTTCATTGCCAAGCCAAGATTTGCTCTTCATTCCGCTTCTTTCCAAGGAGTGCGGATGTGGATGAAGCCCTTCAAGGATTCTTGCTTGGATGAGTACAAGACTAAGAGTGCTCGGTCATCGTCAGTCATGTTCTTGCACAATCGATCAACGTGATTCTTGTCCGTGTATGCCCTGATGAGAAACCACACTTGTAGGACTGTTTGAAGGTTGCCTTCAATGCGTGAAGGATCCAGTGTGAGCACAGATCTTCTGCTCGACTGTCATGAAGGACCAATGTGCTTCATC